CCTGCCCTCCCCTGTCCTACTCCCCCACCCCACTCTACCCTCTTGCCAGCTGTGTGTGCAGTAAAAGATAGGTTGGGAGACCCAAAGGGCTCTCTGCTTTGGACATTCTCTCTGCCATTCTTCTCAATAGTAAGACCAGGGTCCCTGTCACATGCTAATGATTCCATCTGTTGTGCCCGCTGACGCCCTTCTCAGCACGAGTGTGGCCCGAGGATAAGACAAAAAGGCCAAGCGCACCTTTCATGTGGCCACATGGCTTCCCACCCTGGCACCGCCATCGGGCACCCAGCTGAGGCACCACTGGGCCAGGGCTCGGGAGCTCTGGGAGGCAGAAGGCCCTCCCGTCACGTAGCTTGGGGCACACTTTGGAGGCAGGGCGGCAAGGCTGCCACCTACTCACCTCCCCTGGCCGTGCTCCTCTGGCCTCGGCCCCCGCACCTGTCCGTCCATGTCACAATGCCCAGGAGGCCCTGTGGCACCTGGCCACCCATCCTCCAGGCGGAGGGGACCCCAGGCCACCACGCCAGGCTTTGTCTAGCAGTGGCTGCTCTCACGGGCCCAGGGGCGACTGGGCAGGAGTTCTGCCTTTGCCCCCCAGGCTGGTATGGAAGTGGTGACAGCACAGTAGTGGGCTGCTTGGGGGGTCCCTGCGCTGGGGCGGGGCCCGTGTAACCTCACCTTCTCTCTGTGGTTGACCCAGGTTCAGAGTTTCCTCCTGCACTTTTGGCAAGGAATGCCGCCCCACATGCTGCCCGTGCTGGGCTCCTCCACCGTGGTGAACATTGTCGGCGTGTGCGACTCCATCCTCTACAAGGCCATTTCCGGGGTGCTCATGCCCACCGTGCTGCAGGCGCTACCCGACAGGTGGGCACACCCCTCCCATCTCCTCCTGCGCGCCCCAGCCCCACTGACCAAGCGTAGCTAGGCACCGCCCTGTGAACTCAGTACTGGCCTTCCAGGCATGAAAGTTGGTGTTGTGTAATATAATAAAACGCTCATATTTTGAACCATGTGTGGGGTTCAGAATTCCAAAGGCAGAGTGAAAGGTCGGCCTCACCCCCATCTATTGCCCAGATGGCCTCTGCGGAGCAGCCACCCTTTCTCTGGGGCTCCAACCCGACCTGTTTGGACTAGTAGCAAGCAGTACAGTCCACTTCCTGACAGCCCTGCCACCACAGGTGCTGCGCTTTGCGAGCTCTCTGTCCAGGGTGCTGACCGCCACGCTACCCTCCCGGGAGGGAGACTGACTGCAGCTCTGGCCTCCGCTCCCTTCCGCGGCCTCTCCAGCGTCCTTCCAGCACGCCCTGCGGGCTGGAGGTCGGGGAGAGCCTGACTGCACCTTGCTCCAGGCTGCAGCGGTCTCCCTTATGGCCTCTTCTGCTCCTGTGCACACGCTTTCGGATTTATCCTTTGTGGGGAAACCGGAAGTGGGAAGTCAAGGTTGGCAGGGCGGGCTCCTTACAGACTTGGGAGAGACCCGGGTCCATCTGTGCACTAGTCGCTGCGGTGCCAGGAATCCTGGTGGCCCCTGGCTGAGGTTCCGGCACTCAGTCTCCACCCCTGTCTTCACCTGCCCTTCTTGTGTTCTTCTCTCTGGTTTGGCCTCTTGCAAGGACACCTGCCACTGGATTCATGGCCCCCGGGG